ATACTTTACGTCACGCATATTATAGAATTTCAGAGATAAAAGTGCACTTTTATCGATAAAAGCGCGTTCTGAATACGGGCCATCGTTTATAATTTCATCATGATAAATCGATTTCACGTTCGCGCCTGGAGGTCGATTCCGTATCTTCAAACAAGGTGAAAACGACAAAAGCGAGCAAATTTACTAGGTGTTGATCAATGATATTATCAATATTCTAGTAAATTCGCTCACTTTTGTAATTTTCACCTCGTTTCAAGATACAGAGGCTGGGTTCGGGGAGACGCTATTTGTTGTATTAGCGCTATTTGTATCATTCTATCTTTATCGTCCATTAAATGTGAAACAAGGATAGTATGACACAAATAGCGTTGATAGCGCGCTCCTCGAACGCAGCCAGAATCGATCCCCTGTTTGTACTAGTACACCATGAAACAGTTGCTCACACCAATTCACAGATTCACTAACACATCGAAAGCGCCTAGAAATGGCAGCAACCAATCACGAGGGCGTCGCCCCTCATGTCTTGACTCTCTTATAGGGATTTTAATGCGCAGCATACTGCAACGTTCTCTGTCGGTCTATCGTGCAAGCATTTCGCTGCACTTCGCGTTCAGCGTCTTCGAATTGTTTTTAGGTTATATTTACCATCGTGGGGTGGAACATGAAAACTTAAAAACAATATACTTTGAAAGAATATTCCCAACAGAAACGAACGCTCACGTCATCCTATATAGTGCCAGTTTAAAAATGCAGAAAGAAAAATGAGTATTTAATTGAAGATAGGAATAATGATTTTTGTAAGATTTGGTGTTTTTGTGATGTTAAAATCTGTGAAATTTTGGGAATCTCACGATTCTCACGCTTCCTTTTGATACTATTATTGCACAATTTGAAGTCTGTTAGCAATCTAAAACAAATTTTATTTCGAAAAAGAATTAACCATGTCAGGATTATTCGAGCAGATCAAACTGCTTTATGATCAGGCACTTTATTGCAACGTGATCTCTCTGACGAACTTGGTGCTCTCTCTCAGCGAACACAATGCTGACTTGCTACCCGGCTACAGCAAGTTTCACGTATACGTTTATTACGCGGATGCTCACTTTCATCTAGGCAAATATCGCAGAGCAGAGACTCTTTACAAGAAGGCTTTGCAGTTCCGTAAGTGTCTGTTAAAGTCCAAAGGTACAGGGAAACTTTTATTGGATGGACAGAAGGATCTGCCGTCGGATGTCAACATCAAATATCAGATCCACTTATGCCTAGTCAAGTCTAAGAATCTGCAAGAAGCTCTGCAAGTGCTACAGAGCTACATCAAATATCAGATCCACTTATGCCTAGTCAAGTCTAAGAATCTGCAAGAAGCTCTGCAAGTACTACAGAGCATCCCTGGCAAGCAGCGTACTGCCAAAGTAAACATGGCACTAGCTAAGATGTTTCATGAGCAAGGAATGGAACGGTCTGCTATTACCACATACAAAGAAGTTTTGAAAGAATGTCCATTAGCTTTAGAAGCAGCTGAAGGTCTCCTTTCTTTAGGAGTAAAGGGTGTGGAGGTCAATTCTCTGATCGTGGGCTCCATCTCGAACTCGATGAATTTGGAATGGCTTAACACATGGATCAAGGCTCATGCACACATTCATAATAGAGAATACACTCATGCCGTGAGTACTCTGAGGTCATTGGACAATGTTGTTTTGCTTAGGGATAATTTCAATCTATTGACTGTCATGGGCGAGTGTTATTATTATGCGGGTGATGATAAGAATGCTCTGTTGTGTTTGAGGCGAGCTCGTGTTGTTGAGCCAGATATAACAAAAGGGTAAGTTTACACATACATTTATTTAGAGGTTTATTTATATATATTATACAGGAGTAGTTATTGTTTGTTACTTCTCTACAGGGTGGACATGTATGCTGCAGTTCTATACAAAATGCACCACATTAAAGAATTGGAACGGCTGATACCAGCGATAACTAGTAACAACGAATGTACCGGCGAAATTTACATAGCAATGGCATATTCCCTGTTTGCCGCTAGAAAGTTCAGCAGAGCAAATACTCTTACCGCTCAGGCATTAAATCTGAATCCTAACGACATAGAAGCCACCATATTACGGGGTAATCTTCTTATTGAGCAAAAGAAGTATCAGGATGCCTTGTTCTTTTTTAGACACGCCGTGCAACTGAAACCGTACAGATATGAACCACATAAAGGTTTAGTAGATTGTCTTGTTGGGATGCATAGGTTGCGAGAGGCTCTGAATATCGCCAGCAGCTCTTGCAAACAACTTGGACACACCACAAGAGTTCTAACAGTGAGTTTAAGTAAAATAAAATCTATCCAAACTGTAAATTAAAAAAATATATAACAATACATTTTGCGTTTGCAGTTATATGCATCCGTCTTGATGAAAGATCCTGTGTCAGTGAGCAAAGCTAAGAACCTTCTTGAAAAAGCATTATCTCAAGATGAAGTTTACTTACCTGCAGTGTATTTACTTGCGGAGATATACGAACAGGAAATGAATTTGGAAGCAGCCATCGAACTACTCGAGAGACAGGTGGAGATTCACTCTACCTGTAAGCTCCATCAAACTTTGGGAGACTTATGGGCAAGAATGCATAATGAGGAGAAGGCTCTAGATCATTATGTGATAGCTTTAAAGTACATATTTCATTTTTGTGTAATTATTGATTTACATCATAAATCTAGATAAAGCTTATCTAATTTTTGTTTTCAGCTTGGATCCAAACAACAGGAGAGCTATAGAGGGAATGCACAGATTAGACAATTCTTCTAGTAAATTGGATTCCGCTTATTATATGACCGTTGGTGAGGAACAGGCTGATACGACTTATGATGTCGGTGACGGTCTGCCGGATACAGATAACGATGAGGCACCCGAGGAGAGCGAGACTGAAGCCATTTGGTCAGATATGGACTTGGAAGCTAATAGCCAGTAATCATTTTTGTTATAGAAACGAATAACCAGCGAAAATTGATCGAAATTTTGGCTTCTAAACTGAGTCCATTAATAACGGATTTTTTTGAGAATGAATCTTGGAAAAATAATTTGTTCGAATGAAATGAGACTGAGATTGTTCGTGATTATTATTTGATAGGAATATACATCATAGACAATTTACTTCTTTTTATAATAAATTCAACGATCGTACCGTCGTGGAGCTCTGTTGCCTACTTTTAAAAATGTCAATGTTAAATTTTTATTAATTTCTATTACGAAAATATTTCCATAAAATGGAGAACTCTAGTATCAGGAGAATTAAGGCAAATAAACATGTACCCGTTATTTGTTATATTAGTTATATTAGCGGTTACAACTTAGATTTCGATGAACAGCGCAAACTATTCAATGATAAAATATACATATATAGATTGTAGGAAGTCATAATAATAATAATAATTCTTAGATCGATGTAAAACAATATCACATCATTTGCTGAATAGGAAAGCTTATCACTGGCTTACGATTTGTCAACATGCCTTTCCATATCTTTTACACCTGATATGTCGGTATTGTCAAGGATCCAAGGATAAAGCTTCAATTACCGGAAATATATTCGTGGCTATGTAACAATACTACATTCGTCAACAATATCCATATATATATGTGTGTGTGAGTGTGTGTATATATATATGTATATATGTATGTGTGTGTGTGTATTTTTACGTGTGTATATATATATATATATATACACACGTAAAAATATTATTAGATACTTTAAAGAGTGCTATTTAAATAACATAACTATGATATATATAAATATATATATGTATATATCTATCTATATATATATATATATATATATATATATATATATATATATATACACACACATACATTTGACAGTACACGTATCGTAACAACATTCGATTTTTAGCGACAAAGAGAACGTCGCACCGACATATAAAAGAATTGATAACAATTATTCACAAGATTTCTCTCGCGATTTAAATATATCAGTTTATCGCGAGGAAGGTACCGATATTCGATGCAACAATTAAACTTTATATGTGCAATGTAACAATTAAAATCTATACGATTTATACGCGTTGGTTGTTTGTGAAATTGCTTATCGTGTTTTCTTACATCTTACATAACTACGCATCTACAGGAATGTAGACTTTATCGGTCAAAGTCACAAGAAATACCTCGGGATTAATTTACGCGCATCGGGATTAATTTATGTGACATGTCTGTAAAATATTCTCTTATATGAATTTTCACTCAAAATGGAAGATACGATTAATTTAAATGGTGATCAACCTCGAGCGAATTTATCGTTTAGCCGGTTAATTTGTTAATTAGCCGATTAATTCGTTTTTATCGCAATTACTTCTTTAGTATCTTTTTCATTTGTTTCGTTTGATGCTGCATACTATATTGAGCGTTCTCGGCCTTCGTGATCAAGGAGTCGAGCTTATTCAGATGAGATCCCATTTTCTGGTTGAGATCGATCTGCTTCTGCTGGACGCCGCTGTTTGCGGGCTGATTCGTGGTGTCCGTGATGGCCACATCTGACGTCTCCACCGTCATCACCTCGTCGACCGTGGATTCTGGTTTCTCTTGGTTTTCCTGCTTTCCCGCGTCAGGGTTCGGCTCCTCGGGCTTGTGATGCGGCGTTCCGCCGCGAGAATTTACCTTCACTTTGAGCAACGTTCCCAGACTGCCGCAAACTGTCTGCGGAATTCTTTATTAGAGGCCTTTTTCTTTCTCCCCCTCCCCTCTTTTTCTCTCTCTCTCTCTCTCTTTTTCTCTTATCTCACGTGGTGAAAAATATAGGAAACGTGCAATATTTATTTGAAGACGTGTAACGCGTTGATTTATTTGTAATTCGTCAGCGTGGAGTTTACGAATCTCATTTAGACGCGGGGCCGCGGTGGAGAACCGGCGGTGCAGGAGGAAAGCGTTATCAATTTGCGAGCGGGTAAGGACATAAAGTGATCCGTCGTATCGGTCGTAAAAATTCCGTGCTATCGTTATGACAAAATAATAATTAATTCGAGCAACACGCGAAATAAGTGCGCGCAGGCTCGCTCGGCAATTAATTATCCCAAGTCACCTTGAATCTGTTGAGCTTCTTCTGCGTGGTACTCAGAATGCTGTTCAGCTCGTCCAAGCCGCCGCCGATGCGCCCCGCCGCATCGTCCACGTAATCCAAGTCCTAGAGATAAGAGAGCATCGTCGTGAGGAAATTCGTATCGCGGACACGCGTGAACGTCCGGCGTTAATGAACCCCGCGATCGACTTCGCAACGTCAGCGATTTTATTCGCGACGCGACGACGGTCTGACTCTCGTAACTCCGTTGCACGTGGACGCGCAACCCGATTCTGCTGCGTAATGTCTATCGCGATTGCGATATCACCGTAAGTGCATTAGCCGTTCATTATCATATGAAAGAGAGAGCGGATGAATGAAAAGAAAAGGGGAATAAAAAAAAATGGTAAAAGCTGCAAGTGTAGATAACTGCAAACTATGTCGCTCGGCTCTCTCCTCCCTCCTCTCGATTGCGTTCCTTTATTTTATTTTACGGCGATGAAAAACAAAAATTAATACTCGTTGATTCATGGTTGATGAAACGTATCAGAAATAGCTCTCGTTCGCCAATGGGCGTGTCCAATTAAACAAAATTCGAGCTGCTGTTTTAGGCATATTTTCAAACGGATCCTGCCTGACTTGAAATTCTTAGTGCAAGCGAGGCGCAACAGCGCAGTTACCTGTAACGCAGCATCGTCGTCGTCGTCGACGTCGCAACGACGATTCTCGCCCTGCGCCGCCTGCGACTGCCTCCACTCCTCCTCGCTAGGCTTCGGCAAGCCTAGCAATTCTGCCCTCTCGCAGGCGTGCTGATAGTCCTCGGACATGACGCTAGGTCCCAACTATATAACTAATATAACGATGGGCCGCTACCCGAAAACGTCGGGCGTCGCGTCGAGCGATCGTTCGCGAGTACTCTCGGACGCGAAATTCCGTGGAAATCGTTGCGCCCTTGGCGCGAGGCATGCATCACTCAAAGAATCCATATTGGCATAGAAACTGCGCAAGCTCGACCGAAGGCGGGCAGAATTACGGATAAAGCTTTCGCGAACTCGCGACACCCTCCTTGGAAACAGTTGGACTTCGATCGGGGCTGATCCCGATCAAATATTAATTTCTCTCCCCTATATCAATTTCCTCCTCAATAAGCAACAGACATTTTAGAACATTTCGGCAACGTTGTAGCAACGTTGCTACAATATTGTTTCATGAAATATTCCAAAATGTGGATCGGTTTTGATTTTTTGACATTATTATCATACGCGTTAAGACCCATTACGCGGCAGTATATTCGATACATGCGCTTCCCAAGGAACACATAAAAGTTAACAAAAAATCAAAATGATTTTATATTTGCCTGTTCTTAATTTGACTTGTATTATGCGTATACTTTGTAATTGTGTTCGTTTGCACTGTATTCTACCTACGCGCGTATCTTATAAATATGTTCGAGCGTGTGATAATGTATTTAATTCTTATTCTCTTTTTTTTTCCTGTCACTTCCAGGGTTGGATAGTAACTAGTTAAAACGTTAAAAGTTAACAAAAAATTAAAAAGTTTATTACTTTTAACTTAATTTAGTCAATTTTAAATGCATTAATTTTTAATTTAATTTAGTTATTTTTAAAATTTAATTTATTGACTTTTTTAAATTAAAAATTTTTCTATTTCTCTTAATGCTAATATTTTTTTTCTATAAAGTCTTAAATAGAGAATTAATTTATTTAGAGAATTAATTTAGAGAATTAATTTAGAAAAAGTTCAATGATTTTATGATGAGAGACTCTAATAAGTATCACACCATACAGTAGTCAGTTTTTATTGGCCCGCTAAGTTTTGTCAATTCCCGCTTATATTTGAATCACACTAATTTTAAGTATCATAAACGCTATATTTCAGCAACATAAATATGAAATGAGCCTTGGATGAAGAATTGTTGTAGAATAGTACTGCACATCCACCCATTTTCTAAATTTTTACGTATATTTTTTGTAACAAAATATCTAGTCGATGTAGTCGTAAACATGCATAAACAGTCGTTTAAGAAGTTAAAGAAAGTTAGATAAAGGTTAAAGAAAGAGAAATAATGCAAACGTATACCCTTCTCTCTCGCAAGATTTTTACAAAGATACCTTACGGTGTGACTCTTATTATATATAAGTAACTTACATGTAAATATAAAAATTTAATTTACTTAATAATCTGTATTTGTATGGATTATTTAAAATAATCTCTTTTTAAGAAAAATTAGGACATTTTGATCTCAAAAATAATTTCTTTCAAAATTAACTTTTTTTTAAACTGAAGTTAATTCAATCTTAACTTAACTTTTACTAAGTTAATTCTTTATTCTTTCAATTTGTAACTTAATTTTATTAATTTTATAAACCATTAACTTTAACTTAATTTAATTTAAAAAACCATTAACTTACCCAACCCTATCAATTACTTTGATGCTTTTATGTTATTATTATTTTTCTATTGTATTCACATTGTATTATTAGGTAGGCTCATAACAGCAGTCTTGTTGACGCCTCATTTTTTACACTTGCAATAAATTAAATTAAATTAAATTAAATTAAATTAAATTAAATTAAATTAAAATATTAATCTTCAAGAGGCTGAGCTACAGTAAGACAGCTCGATTCGGTCTTGAAAAGTGGAACATAGTAGTTTATAGATAAGAGCGCTTCCAATCCAAATTTTTAAGAGAACTCTTAACGACAAGTGGTATTAGATCGCAAGTTGTAATTGTGGATATAACGTTTAGGAAAGCGGCTTTCGAGCGATAAAATACTTATTGTAGATAAAAAGAACGTAAAACGCGAGGCGTTAGATCGCGAGATAAGTGGAACTCGAGTTCCCAGGGCGGTCTCCATATCGTCATGTTCATGATTAATTTCAATCTCGTCGCGTGCACCTGGACCACACAGTACAGTACCGCACAAGCCGTCCTCACCCACGTGCACGTCATAAAGACATACACGCGCACCTTATATAAGCTACGCGACAGCTTGATCGGTTTGCATTGTTGTCGGAGCGAAGTCTGCGTCGTCTCGCGAGTGAGTTATGGCACCGGCAATGTCATCGCGGATCGCGATACGGGAGATCGGGTTTACTTTGATCCTGCTGCTCGTGTTATCCGCGCAGGTGAGACGGGGCTATTCCGATCTTGTCGTGAAAGAAAGTTGGGAAGAGAGAAAAAGAGAGGAGTGAAGGAGAGATGGCTAAATTTTAATAAAATCATTTAATTTATTTTTTAATTTTAATTAGAATTTATTTTTAATCTTTTCATTTATTTATCACCTCATTAATTTTTTAATTAATTTCAACATACATTAAAATAAATTGAAATTTATTTAAAAAACGTAAATTTAAATAAATATTAAGTAAATTTAAGTAAAATGTATTTTAGTACATTTCAATATTTATAATAAAATATACATATATATATTTTTAGTATTTCTATAAATAAAAAAATAGTTTTTGTAATTTTTTAAACTAATTAGAAACAAATAACTGGGAGATTTTGGAATATTAATTAATATGTGCGTTTTAATATTTAAACCAAATTTATTTTTAGTATTATAAACGTGCGTTTGTGATTCTTTCATAGTAAAATCATATATATCCGACGAGAGAGATTGTATTCATCCATTTCTGGAAAAATTTATTGGGTTATCGTTTGTCAAATTAGAGACATCAACTCAGCTGAGATTTATTGGGTTATCGTTTGTCAAATTAGAGACACCAACTCAACCAAGTTAGGGATAATAGACTTATATTACTCTGACGAATAATAGTATTCCCAATATATCGTCGGCGTATTATTGAACAAGTTAACAATGAGAACGATATAAAGGTCGTTAAATTCTTTGCGATTCTCGCAATAATAGAAAAAGAAAATCATAGAAATAAAAAATCATGCCAGATGTTATCAACTTGAAGTTTTATCAAACTTTCTTTTGCAAATTGAATACTTTCATGTCGCAATGACGTTTTAAAAATAAGGCAAAATAAAATAAATACTATTTTACAGATTATAGATTAATTAAATGTTTATCTATTTATTTAAAAAAAAATGTGTTAACGAGAGAAGTTGAACTCTCTCAGCTGTTTCAGGAGAGTTGTTTTATTTCCTAATTTCTCTAGGCGGTGGACTATGAATTCCACAGACACGACGAGATATCAGTGAATTCGAACGACAACATAATCTTGACGAGCCGCGACTTTCTCGAGCAGCTGAATTTCGTGGCACCAAAAGAGAGTTACACATTGCAAGAAGCCACGGAGCACTTGCTGTATTTCGGTGCACTCCTGCGAGCGCGAATAGTCGACACCTTCGGCAGCCTCCTGTACAATTATTATGATGACTTCAATGTTGCGGAAGTGGATGCGTTGCACAAGATATATTGGAAGATCCACGAGCGACAGTACGACGTATTCGACCTAATCCCCAGTGTCCTGAGGAACCAGGATACGAGACCGTCCAGGATCTGTACCGAGATCTACAAACACACCAGGGAATCCTGTCTGAGGAGTAGCGCCAGCATCTGCCGCAGAATCAGAAAGCAGCACGATCTCCCGCATCCCGATGATCACAACACAGCTGCGTTGAATATCACGTACCACGTGTATCATTCGTCCAAGATATCGCAGCAATATCCCAGAGGTTTCTCTCTGGCGACATTGCTGAGACTCTTGCAGCGAGAAGTGCTGGTAATCACGCCCAATCTACTCTCTGGACTTTTATATAATGTGAGATACGATAACTACGACGACAACGTTCGCCTCGCCGAGAGGGAACTTGTACGACACTTTCGTGAAATCTCGGAGACCACCGTCGAAATTTCAGTGTCGACGGTGGAGCTGAGGAAGTTCCATACTATGAATTCTTTCCTTAAGTACTATGTCGGTATATACGCTGAAAAATCTTCGGACAACGATCTGAAAAAGTACGCGTTTCTGATTGCGAAAAGAATCGCCGACGACGTTGGCATGATCGACGAGAATATCCACTTGCTAGGTAACGTCTACGAAAATCAGGCGATCCACGTTGAATACCTCTTCGATCTTGTGCTGCCTGATGATTTAATTGAGAAAGACATCATCGAGGCTAAGAAATACCTAGTGAGAAAATTAAACAAATTCAACGTGGTGGAAAAGTATCTCAAAGTGCAGAAGTATCAGCAGGCCACTCCCGCTCAGCTAATGATGGAGATCACCGGACAGCTGATAGACATCGACTTCGCCAAAAATATCGCGATATCTCTGCGGATGCACGCGAAATTCTGGCACAAGAGTCGCATGATCGAAAGCCTCGACGAGCTGCTGGAACTGTTCGATGCCTATGAGAATTTGCGGCAAGTGCCGCGCTATTTCCACATAATGGAGAAGATCGATGGAATAAAAGAAAGTTTGCAGAATATGAAGGACGTCCCCGTTGAGATTCTCTGTAATGTTCCGCGAGCTTGTCTGCGAATAGGTCTAAAACTGATTTTACATTGTAAATTGATAAATTCTCTAATCAAAGATTCCATCAAAGACTTTCTGGAGATGAGTGATGAGTGCGTGGACACTCCGATACCGGATTCAAGACGCTCGGTAGAGATCCCGTTTAAGATATCAAAAAAACGTTTTAGCACAACACTGCTAACTCCAGGCCTAACAGGCGAAACTACGTTTCAACGCAGTACAATCTATCGTAAATTCCAAACGACTACAGAGTCTGTTAAATCTACCAAAACTACAAAGGCTCCAAGAAGGTCCAAGGATGAACCTTCGGAATTTTCGACTACGACGATGACAACTGTGTTGACGACTACGACCGAACCCACGGTGCCAACCTCAACTATGGCCATAACCACTACGACAGCTGCGACAACTACATCATTACCTACAACAATTACGACGTTACCCACGACAACTACGACTTTGCCTGTTACAGAATTACCTACGACTACGTTGCCAACTACAACTACAACATTATCTACAACCACGACAATGTTGCCAACAACTACAACATTGCCTACGACTACCACAGCAGTGCCTACGACTACCACAGCAGTGCCTACGACTACCTCGATAACTACGACGACAACGTTCGCCTCGCCGAGAGGGAACTTGTACGACACTTTCGTGAAATCTCGGAGACCACCGTCGAAATTTCAGTGTCGACGGTGGAGCTGAGGAAGTTCCATACTATGAATTCTTTCCTTAAGTACTATGTCGGTATATACGCTGAAAAATCTTCGGACAACGATCTGAAAAAGTACGCGTTTCTGATTGCGAAAAGAATCGCCGACGACGTTGGCATGATCGACGAGAATATCCACTTGCTAGGTAACGTCTACGAAAATCAGGCGATCCACGTTGAATACCTCTTCGATCTTGTGCTGCCTGATGATTTAATTGAGAAAGACATCATCGAGGCTAAGAAATACCTAGTGAGAAAATTAAACAAATTCAACGTGGTGGAAAAGTATCTCAAAGTGCAGAAGTATCAGCAGGCCACTCCCGCTCAGCTAATGATGGAGATCACCGGACAGCTGATAGACATCGACTTCGCCAAAAATATCGCGATATCTCTGCGGATGCACGCGAAATTCTGGCACAAGAGTCGCATGATCGAAAGCCTCGACGAGCTGCTGGAACTGTTCGATGCCTATGAGAATTTGCGGCAAGTGCCGCGCTACTTCCACATAATGGAGAAGATCGATGGAATCAAAGAAAGTTTGCAGAATATGAAGGACGTCCCCGTTGAGATTCTCTGTAATGTTCCGCGAGCTTGTCTGCGAATAGGTCTAAAACTGATTTTACATTGTAAATTGATAAATTCTCTAATCAAAGATTCCATCAAAGACTTTCTGGAGATGAGTGATGAGTGCGTGGACACTCCGATACCGGATTCAAGACGCTCGGTAGAGATCCCGTTTAAGATATCAAAAAAACGTTTTAGCACAACACTGCTAACTCCAGGCCTAACAGGCGAAACTACGTTTCAACGCAGTACAATCTATCGTAAATTCCAAACGACTACAGAGTCTGTTAAATCTACCAAAACTACAAAGGCTCCAAGAAGGTCCAAGGATGAACCTTCGGAATTTTCGACTACGACGATGACAACTGTGTTGACGACTACGACCGAACCCACGGTGCCAACCTCAACTATGGCCATAACCACTACGACAGCTGCGACAACTACATCATTACCTACAACAATTACGACGTTACCCACGACAACTACGACTTTGCCTGTTACAGAATTACCTACGACTACGTTGCCAACTACAACTACAACATTATCTACAACCACGACAATGTTGCCAACAACTACAACATTGCCTACGACTACCACAGCAGTGCCTACGACTACCACAGAAGTGCCTACGACTACTACAACATTACCTACAACTACCACAGCAGTGCCTACGACTACCACAGCAGTACCTACGACTACCACAGAAGTGCCTACGACTACCACAACGTTGCCCACAACGATCAGTACAACTACCCCTACAACTGTGCCCACAACGATCAGTACAACATTGCCTACAACAACTCCCACAACGACGACCATGACGACAACCACGACATCACCTACAATGGAGATACCGATTGTGAATACCAACGTGGTAATAGCACTGAATCGTTCGAAGATCGTAACAAAAGTTTTCACGCCACGCGTTAACTTCGGAATTTCGACGAAGACCTTGATAATACCAACCGCAACACCTGTCCCCGCCTGCGAAACGGCTGATTGCATTACTGAACAAAGTACAACTAGCAAATATGTCGAAACGACGCCTACTCTGCTCTCGACGACGCAATCTCCAACGACGACGCCGACGATGCAGACTTCCACTCTTGAAACTACTGAGCCACCGCATCAAAGCTTAACCACGGACTCTACAGTTTCAACAACGGAATTGATCGAAACGCCGACTACGAAAGGTAAAATAACATTACATTTTACACAACTCTTTTTATAATATGAAAGAGAAAATTACAATTTTCTAATTGCACTAATAACATAGTCTTTCGGTTGAAAAAAGCACTCATCATATTATACACATTTATTCATTTTTAACAGATACATTACAAATAAATAAACTTTAATGTATTTTAAACACACGTAGCTGTATATAAATAAATGTCCAAAATTAACATACTGTGAAATGCCACACAGGCTGCGCGCAGATCTGCTTAGAAAAATGCGAATTCAACGTCGAAACATCGGGGAAGTCCTGTGAAACAAGTTGCGACTCCGTGACGGAAGACTGCAACGAGGACAATCCTCCGAGGACGAGCTCTCAGGAATGTGACAAGAGTTGCGAGTGCGATACCAAAGAAAAGAGCGGCGAGTGCATGACCTTGTGTCCTCCGAACGACGCGGAGAGCTTATCCTGCGAGAATGGCGACTGCATGACAGTGCCGCCGTTGAGTATAAAACTTGAACGTCCGCGAATACGCAGCATGTGCGAGATCCCGAATCTCCATCATCGTCGTCAGTTGAAACGGCTGGCGAAGATGCGGGCGATCAGCGCCAACGCTGCGATCGCGACGTCACACGTCGATGTCTCTAGATCGAGGACGTCGCATCATCGAGACCAAATTGCGACCAAGAAGCGGTACAAAATGGTAGACGCCGAAATACCTTATTCCAAAAGCAAGAAGGTAACGGAATACTTGCAGCAAAAATCTCTTCATGGCAGGCTGAGCGGGAACAAAGACAGAGAACAAAGGCGTCGCAAGGAACGGGAGCAAATCTACAGGTTGAAGAAGCGGCTGACGAAAAAACTCAGCGGAAAACTGACCCATAAAACAACGATGCATCGTACGAGAGGGATCGTTGATCCATTTCGTCATAGTCAGATTAAAAGGATATCCGAGAGAGGCGTGAAATTAATCAACGCGTAAAAGGCCGAGACGAGATCAGAGTTTATTGATTTAAAATTACGTCTTTTAGCAAATAATGTTATTATAGCTGTTATGTAATTATATGGCCGTCACACTTCATGTGCTGCGTTTAGCGTACTTTCCGTCCATTTAATCGGGTCAGAGGCGAAAAATATCGTGGAACGTAACGGGAGAAGATAATTATATTGGAGACAAGAACGTTTATCGAATTCGGCTAAACGATTACTCGATCCGGAGATTTGATTTAGTAACTGTCTATATTTAATCGGACCGTCGCGAGACTCGTATGAATTATAAATTATTTCTTCGATGCTTTCTCAAAGGGCGTCGTTGACGTCGCAACATTGATCAATTAGAGTCACGTTAATAAGATCTCTTATCAGCGTTTCCAGCAATGAATTTATATTACAAGCAGCTAAAGTATTTTGGAACGTTTAAATTGTTAGACATTTTTTCGATAAATTTTGTAAATTCTGAAAATAATCGTTATTTTGATATTGTATCATGATATTTTTCTTCAGTCTATTTATTCAGTTTGTTTATTGGACTAAGAAAATCGACAAATAAGTTTACGAGAATCGGAAATAGAAATTACGATATTCGTTAAAGACACAATGTTTTTGAGTACTTTGAGATTCTTCTTGTTCCCGCTAGAGAAGACTTGGCTTTCCTTTTTACCAAGTACTCGAACAAACAGCAACGCTCGACGTGCACATTCTCGTTCCGTGCAGAGCAAGTAGCGACGAGGTCCGGCGTGAGTAAACGCCATAAACGGATAAGCGGAGCAAACGATAGAACACAATGAGAAGTAAATTTGACATGGCCGGTGCCCGGCGCGTAATCTGTCTTATTAAACGGTCCCGCTCGCACAGTGAGCGATTACATTTGAATTTACGCTCGAAATAAGCGCCGTGTCGCGCTATCGAGCCAATTAATTCTCCATCCCCAGGATATACCTTTACGACCACGGCGAATCTGCTTCATTTCACCGATAGTTATTCGGTCACCACGCGAGAGTGACCTTTTTCTTTTTTTTTTTTTCTCTCCGATCGCGATCGCGGGATTGGCAAATTCACAAGCCTCTCAAACGCGACCTCGCGCGGCTGTCCGACACGAAGAAATTCCGATGTTTTTATCCGTTATAGAGGCGAATCCGCAAATCGTTTTCAGCGAACATATGTAAATATATAAACATATTTCACCCACGCGAGTTCGCTCGCGTTCGTGAATTCGAAAACGCTATTAATCATCGATATTAATCGAGCGCTCATAATCTTGTCGAAGAGCAGACAATATATGTACAGGCACGGTTTTTAGAAGAAAGAAAGCATGATGGGATAATCATGCCACGATATATCATTTCTCCAGATAAACAAATCCTTTCCTGCAAAAATAAGTTCTTGCGGGATTTCTCCGGTCAAGTTATTTTTAAAAAATAAGCCACTCTGAGCCCGTACTCCTTGTCGAAAATCAGATGTTCCCTGTCAAACAAATCATTGGTACGACCTACGTTCCTATAAATTGTTTCTCTATATTTTTTCTGAGAGTGGAAGCACAGAGTTTTGCATAACGCATAATACATAAAAAAAAATGTACCAATCAAAGTCCTTCATTTCCTTTCTTTCCTTGAAATAAAAGACTTTGAGCGATTGATTCTTTTAAGTTTTATGCATTATGCATTATGTAAAAGTTTATGCTCCGACTTTAAGGCGATCGCTTCCTTATGCAAAGGTTTCCTTTGTTACCCTTCATCGACTTCGCGGTCAAAAGTGCCGACTTGATTACATGCCCGCTCGGAATTCTAAGGATCTTGGAAAATACGACGCGTACGCGTAAATAAGTCCAGGCAAATCGCCGATATAATTGGTACACGTGCCAGACTCGAAACTGAAATAACGCCCGCGCTGTATAGACAGAGCACGACTACCCGTGAAGTATTTACAAAGGCGTGCGTATACATATAATACAAACGGTCGTATCAAATTGTTATTTACCGGTTAAATAACGCGGAAATCAAATGGAAGTCGGAGCCCTGGTGAACATTTTTCTCAGAATTTTACATATAATTTTTCAGAATAACTGTTTAGGAAATTTCTCATTTTTTAAATACAAATTAGAACACTTTTTAAAAGTGCCTGTAAATAGTTTGCACCTTTTTTTTTTTTAGAATTTTTCATATATGTATTCTGAAATATTTTAAGATTTTCTCTTTCTCTATAATCTCTGATGAAATCTGAGAAAGTTTGAAATATTTTTTCAGAAATTATAGAATGAAAAATCTGAAAGAATATGTAGAATTCACGAGATATGAAAAAGTCTAAGAAAACATGTAGATTTTTTCTGTAATTCTAAAAAATATTTCAATTTTCACTTGGGAAGCGAAGGAAGAGGAGCATCTCACAATGGTTTCTCTTTTTTTTTTAAATATGAGTCTTTTGCAAGCATCAATTTTTATTCATCGCAAATACATGGCGAGTTTGCTCATTAAAAGATCGCATGCGTGTTTCACATATTTCAATACAGATTTTTCACTATTTACGTGACATTTCGCGACACGTTATTGACATTTGCGGTTGCGAGCGCCGTGGTCAAAAGTAACTATAACCAGTTTAAACCGGTCGATTCCTAAAACGTACAGGGACTGTCCCGCATTTAACGGAGCGCGGGTGCGGTCTCTTTTTTTTTTTTATTATCAATTTATGTGGCACTCACGTGCTCGTCTACAAGTCGCCTTTCGTAAAATGCCTGTACGCGCGACGTATGTTTGCGGCGCTCGTTAAACCATCGCAGCTGACAAGTCGGCCGTCTATATCGGCTGGCTCATGTGACCGGCAATTTGTATCGACGTACAAATTCGCGATTTGCACGGAGATACGTCATCGCGAAATTCCGAAAAGGTAAACGGATGACGACTCTTGTCACGAGGGGAAGCAAATCGCGATCACGCGCCACAGCGTTAAAGCTATGGCACATAAAAAACGTAAGCGGTAAGCAAATGAACATTTCGTTGCTACTTACTCTCTAAAAATTTTAGAGTGAATTGTCGCTCTGAAGAGTGAAATCTCATGGGTTTTCTACGATAACTCCGTATCTACAATAGGTTTTTAAGCCTTAAGCCATAAGGAATGGACGAATCACAATCAATTATTCTCCTCGCACTTGACTGTAGTTGGTCAATTTTGTACGACTTAAGGCTTAAAACATCTATTGTAGATCCGGACTAAGTCATTACCTTTAAGTCCTAAGCCTTAAGTCTTAAGCCTTAAGAAATTAATCAATCATACTCGATTATTCTTCCCATCGCATAGACTGCGATTGACACTTAAGACTGAAAGCTTAAGACTGAAAGCTTAATAATAATAGCTTGTCGTAGAAAGCCCATCGCTTGAAGATTAAACATCGAGTTACTCTCTTTATCAAGACAGGTTGAATTTTCACTCTTTAGAATGAGATTCCACTCCAAAGAATTTAGAGAGTACGTTATTGCCTTTGTACACCGATTGTGGTCGATTCGCTTACGGCTTACACGCATCTTACTGTCTTACGTTTTTCTGTACATGTATAACTTTTACCACGCGACGAAACACGAGAGGATCTCCCATGCGTGAGAGAATGTGATTGTGGAATCTCAATTCGGGCAGAAACGTTTCGTTAACGAAGCATCGACACCGAGACGACTTGCGTGTGACCTTTCTTGTCACCTCGCTTGGGTGAATCGCGACGATCCGTCGCGATCAAGTTTTTGTCAAAGGGCAGAGAGCCCGTTGTCGTCATCGTTAAAGATCGAGGGAGTAGAAGAGTGGAGGAAAGAAAGAGTTGAGCGCGTTGGAGGTTTCCACTGATGCCGTTGCTAGGCATCCCATATACGGGTGAGATAGAGACAGAGAGAGAAGAAGAGAACGAGAGGGAATGAGCGAGGGGCAAAACGAGAAACTCGAGACAAAGAAAGAAAGAAAGACAGAGAGAGAGAGGGGGGGGG